GCTCCCAGATTGGATGACTGAAACTTTTTCATAGGAAAATAATGAATAATGAAAGCTGCTGCTCAGTACAATTGCCCTAGTTCCCACCAGAAGTCTGGTGTAGTCACATGTAGAGTTGTCATTGTCTAAAACCCCATGCACCTGAATGTTCACAAAGAGCAAAGAACAAAGGGCCATGAAGAAAGGCTATTCTATGCTACACTGTTCTGCTTAGTTCCCTCCATGGCATCCATCACTGTTGATCTAAGCTCTGATCTACACACTGATTTAACATTCCAGTTAAGGGTGTGATTTCCTCCTCTCCTCCCCAAATTGTTAAATCTGTACTGTGCACACTGTTATCCTAGAATAGCCTGCATTGGAATAAACTCTATTGGTATAAGCATCTTTATTCGCACCCACACTAGGTATGTTGTACTGCTTTAACCATTGTATGAACTAGGTAAAAGCAGTGTGATTTTTGTGTGTAGATAAAAATCAAATGGGAATTTAGAATTCGAATAAACACTCCCAAGCAGACGAGCCACAGACTCTATTTTCAGGCTGATTTCAAAGGTGTTCTTCAGTTTGGGATTTCTCATTTGAGGGGCATTTCTCATCTGAGGGGCAGCGTGACTTAGGGAATACGGATGGGACTTCTGAATTCTGTTCTTGGCTCTGATGGGGTGACCTTGGGTAAATACCCTGCTCCATTTGCATCTCAGTGTAGTGCTGCTGAATCACATTAAAACAGCTGCTGTATTTCATTCCAGAGGTTGCCTCTTGGCCTCTCGGTCAGGGATTCTCAAACTTCTTTGTACCATGACCCTCTTCTGACTATGAAAATTACTACATGAGCCCAGGGAAGGAACTGAAGCCTGAGCCCATCTAAGCCCAACCAACTCAGACAGGAGAGGGACAAAGCCAAAGCCTGAGACCCACTGCTCCAGGCAGGAGGAGGCTGGGCCAAGCCAAAAGGCTTCTGCCCCAGGCAAGCAGCCTACAACCTGATCCCCACCACTCAGGGCTGGAGCACTCTGTCTTCAATTTTGTGCCCACACAACAGGGCTTGGGCTTCATCCCTGGACTCCAGCAAGTCTAACACCAGCCATTAAAATGGGGTTGTGACCTACTTTGGGGTCCTGATTCACAGTTTGAGAACCGCTGCTCTAGGTTCTGCAACATTTTTAAAGTGCTTGGAGCTCCCATCAGGATGCAAGACCCAATATTATTATGGCCATAGGGATGTCGCAAAGCACAGAATATTTTCCGTCTAACCTTTGGCTAACTTTTAGTTCCAGCAAAAGTTGTGGCATGTGACAGAACTTTTCTGTTCTTAATGATGATGATGATGATGATTGTTGTTATTCCTGCTAATTTGCAGCTCCAGCTTGAAGCACAAAAGGTGTCAGGAACAATCAACCAGGAAGAAGATGCCCAAGCCATCCCATCCAGCTGCTGATTAGTGCCTGGCCTCTCCAAAGAGCACTGAGTTTGATCCTACCACTCCCAGGCCCTGTACAATCCGACTGATGGGCAGAGGTCAGAGCTCAATTGCAGTGGGCGGAGGGAGTGCTGCTAAATGCCCCATTCTAACAGCGATGTGAAACTCCACCAGGGAGCCTGTAAAAACAGAGGCAAGCGCAGGAAATAATAGCCAATAAGCAGGACTTCCGACACAATCATGTGTTCATTTCAGTGTCAAGCAGCAGGCCAGGAATGAGGAGAAAAATCCCATTCCCCTTCCTCTGTGGTAATAACGGCTTTGTAATCTCAGCGGAACCTCCAGACTCTAGGATTTGTCTGAAAATGTTCTCAGCCCTCCTGGCTCAGCCCCACAAACATCCTTGCCACATGGTTAACTACCCTGAGCTGAGCCTTCTGAATTCGGTGCGCCCTATCTGGGCAGCAATAACAAGGAGCTTCACTCCTTTACTTTGTGACGTTCTTCTAAAGGGACATAATGATGCTCAGAAACTGCAGGAATGAATGTCTGCATTCTACAAAAGATGAGGATGCTAATAATCCATGTGATAGGTGTCTGGAGGAGACAATGTAGAGGCTCCCACTGGTAGCTTTCTTGGCCCAAATGCTATCCTGCCAGTGCACAGAAGACAGAGAGATATTACAAGAAGAAGCCAAGTGTGCCTCTTCAGGTGGCACATATGCAGAGGCACGTAAAACCAGCTAGCTTGACTCTAGCCCCAGCCTGGCAGGCCAAGCCCCTGGGGGCACCAGTGGGTATATTAGCTGAGCTACTTTTCTAGAGTTCTCTTCTGCTCTAGATGGGAATCCTGCTCCACGCTGGTACTGAAGGGGCTGGAGAAGAGACTGTCCCAGCACCTTTTCCTTGCTCCACTAGTGCATCTGTAGAGCATGAATTGGCCCATGTTTTCTGTACTTTACTACTTTGCTTCATTTTCTTTTCATAGCATAGGTGGGTTTCAGATGCGAATGGAGAGGAATCATGACGTAGGTGAATTACTGCTGAGTGTGAAGGTGTTTTTCAGTGATTTGGCTGTAACAGTAGTCAGCTAGCATTCATTTCAGAGGGGTGCCAGCACAGCCAGTTTCAGGAGAGCGAGGACATCCTGTACTGTTTATAAATCAGCTGTGTGCTGATGGCTTCTATTGTAGGCAGGGTTTTTATCGCTTTCAATATTTTCTTAAGGAAAGAGCTCAGGCAGTCCCAGGGGGTCCCATAAGATTTTCTGCTTGTGCTTCTGTCAAGGCATTTCACATTAAATGTGGTCCCTATAAGCCAGTGAGGGCACTAAGTCAGGACAGGGGCATTGAGTTTCCAATATGCTGCTTCCTGCTGTTCAGCTATTGGGTTGGGTCATTACAAATGCAGGCATGTGAGTAACGTTCAATGAGAAAAGGAAACAGGCCAGCACAAGAATCAGTGCAGATAAAGTCCAGGGAATAGGCTAGTGAGGAAATAGAATTCCTGACTGAACTGGAAGGGAAATACAAAAGGAAAAAGAAAATGGATACAGGAACTAACAAGCAGCACTAAGAAGCTAAATTCCAAGAAAAGGAGGGACTTATTGGGAAGAAAGACTAAAGATGGAAGGTAGCTATTTTCAGTACAGAGATGAGGGGAAAATTTTCCAAATGACTCAAGCAGTTCTATACAATGATTGAGCAATTGGCTTTTGATGTCTATACATATCATATCCTCTTTGGACTGGAAATCATGCATTTTGGGACTTCTTCAGAGTTAGAAACAATGTGAGAATATTGGAGGTGGGCAGCTAATGCAAAATATTTTCTGTGAACGTTCACTTGAATGGTTAATTGACCTCGGTTCAGCCACCCTTATGTCCTTTTACCTTAATTTTCCATGCGCATTTGGGCAACCAAGTGTTACTAGCACAAATGTTCTTGGAGAATGAATTTCAGTCCTCTGTATGAATCTTTGTGGGATCTGAGTGATAAATTAGTCTCACCCAAGTAAGTAAGGGTATGTCTACACTACCCCGCTAGTGCGAACTAGCGGGGTAATGTATGCATACCGAACGTGCAAATGAAGCCCGGGATTCTAGCCCGTGCCGCGTGTAGCCGCGCGGCACGGGGTTCGAACAAGCCGGCATTTAAAAATGGCGCCGGCCGGCTTATGCAAATAAAGCCCGGGAAATTCAAATCCCGGGCTTCATTTGCACGTTCGGTATGCATACATTACCCCGCTAGTTCGCACTAGCGGGGTAGTGTAGACATACCCTAAGGTACAAAAATCATACCGTATAACTTATCTGACTAACCACAGCTAAGCAACTTAGCTGAACTTAGAATATCTGAGAACTAAAAAGTGAAGAATGGAATGCATTTGAGGAACTTGTGATCTTCTCATGGATAATCCACACACACACACACACACACACACAAACACACGGCTAAATTAAATGAGCCCACTATTCATTATGAATTATTCACTTTGCCGTAGAGAACATGATTGTCTTTTGTTGCTGTCACCACATGCTGCTCCAGCTGAATCAAAAAAGATACTGACAAATTGAAAGGAGTTCAGAGAAGACCAAAGATGAGCAGCAGGCTGAAAGGACAGGCTTTTAAGAATGTGGCAGGCTGGGGTTTACAGTAAAGCCAGCTGGGGGAGCAATCAAGGAACAGCCTGCTGCACCAGTACTAGATATAGTGGAGAAGCAAGCTGAAGGAGAGACGGAAGGGGAGGGAATTAGAGGCTGTGCTACGCATTGTAAGCCCTAGCACACTAGCCTGACCTAGGGCCTAGAGACGTTTGATTTTTTGACTGTAAGTGGTTTCTGTCAGACCTTATGATTCTTCCTGGATGCCTCAGGGAAAGGGAGAAAGGCTGCCTACCTCCTAGGATAATAGAACAAGGAATTCTTCTGGCTGGGTTAGGTTTGGAGACCCTCTTAAATGGGGATAGCATTGCTTAGCAGGTATCTACACTGGAGGCAGGAATGAGATTCCCAGCATGGGTAGATGGATTTATACTAGTGGGCTTAAGCTAGCATGCTAAAGATAGCAAAGTAATGCTGCTACACTAGTCGAGACTTGGACTAGCCACCCAAGCTCAGACCCAGAGAGTCACATGTGTCTATCTCTGGGGATATGGAGGCTCATTTCCATCTGCAGTGTAGACATAACCATATAATGGTTAATTGGTGTGGAGGGCAAAATTGTCTACAAATATCTCATGAAGGTAAATACCTAAGCGGGAGAGGAATCATACAGGGTGGCATAAGGGGGGTTCGGTGGGAGCAGCATAATGAAATTAAGAAAGGGAACATTTAGGTTCAGTCTTAGGAAAAAATCTTGCCAGTGAGCTCTACGTGGGTGTGGAATAATCTCTCAAAGGGAGCAGTGAAATGCGGGGTGAAAGGGAATAAGTACACGGGACACATGAAACTAGACTGGACAATGAACTAATCCAGTCTAGGGATAGGTGTCTTCCAGCTCTAACATCTGTGATCCTTTGAAACCAGAAGGCATGAAAGTAAAAGCAAAAAGTCAACAAAACCTACTCTGTTCCGTTGCTGAGATGGTGAGTGGAAGGGTCAGGAGAGCTGTGAATGCGTCCGCATTGGCTTTTCTGCCTGTAATGAGCACAGGTGGGGCCAACAACTGAACACTAGCTGATACCACCAATTTGCTTCCGTAGAGAGAAGGTCTAGAAGGATAAAGCTCTTACCTTTAACAAACACGTATGTCGTGGCCACGAGGTCTTTGTTAGAAAGGAGGTGATTATAACCACAGGTGAAATAACTGGTGTCCTGGGCTATGGTATTGGTGATCGTGAGCCTGCTGCAGATCTGCTGTTCATTGTCTGAACACGTCTGCTCAGAGACAGTCCACCTGTCACTGTCTTTGTGTGATTCATTTCCCCATAGCCAGGTCATGGGGGCTGCTCCCCTGTCAAGAGAACACACAATAAAGATTTTGTCATGGTCTCTGGCATAATGAGTGGAATAATCGACATTTCTCAGGCCAGGTTTCATAATCTTGTCATGCAGTGAGGAACGATAAAGGTCTTTGTGATGTCTTTTTATGAGCTGCTAGCTTTTCTAGCACCTTGCGGGAGTTAAGGCTTCAGATGGAGTTACCCTGTCCCCTTCCCTGCAGCACCAGACATTTCCTGAGAGAAGCAATAGCAAATGCAAGACCATTTCCTACAGTCTGGGGGGACAATGAGCTTTTCAATTTGAGGGAACAATGTGAACAAGAGCTCATTTGAACTGGCTAAATTTATTGCTGTACAAACATTAGAAGGCCTCAGGTACATCTGTAAACTTCTCCTGAGTTGGGCTGTCTGCACTTTCTGCCAGAGCAGTTAAACCCTCTTTGGTTCTCCTAACACTGAGGTTAAGGAAGGGAGAGAAAAGACCACATATGTAACTCCATGTCTTCCCTCTTCTTTAATTAGCAGTGACAGCACTTTGTTTGTGTGAGGTGTCTGGAAGAAGCTGGATTGCAGATCTTATGACATATGCTTGTATCAGATACAGTTTGTCTGTTTGGCCCTTCACTGACCTTAGAACACAGGAGTTACCACAGTATGGCAGATACACCGTCTCATCCATCTAATGTAGCATCCTTCTCTGATGCCTGGTACAAGCCACGATGTGCACCCTTAAATAACCTAGGGCTAGTAGGGTCTGATTCAATGGGAGTGTTTCCTTTGACTTCAGTTAGCTTTGAATCAGGTCCGTAATACAGTCCTGTGGCATGGGATGTGCAGAGCGCACTGCTGCAGGAAGAGATCCTGGAGGCTTTGTGTCTCAGGGAGGCAATCTAGGAAATGTGGAGAAGAGAGGCCAGAGTGGCCCCTGCTGCAGGATGCATGAGACCAGCATGGAGAGGGAGGAGTCCTGGACCAAACCTTCCCAGACACCTGTGGAGAAGCTAGGGCTGGCATTAGTTCAAAGCAGTCCTCTTTCTCCATAGGTGCAAGGGCAGGATGGGAAGCTCCTTCTGCCTTTCCCCTCTCTTTGATAACTGCACCAAGCAAGACCTGGGCTGGCCTTTAATGTTAAAAGGACGCTGTGTTCACACCATCCTTACTCAGTGGTGGTCCATTGGCTTCAGCAGAATTTACTTAAGGGAGGATCAGTAATGAGCTCGGGATTTTCTTCACTGGGAGTAGCAGTAGGGAGAAAACACCATTCAGGGCATATCCGTTCAGTGCAAAGGCACTTATGCTCCCCAGGCATTGCTACTACATTCTGCTGCGAGTTGGGGTATGTCTACACTTGTCCCCTAGTTCGAACTCTACACGCGGCAGTGAAATGGGAGTTCGAAGTAAAGCCCTTAATTCAAATTAGCTGGTAAACCTCATTCCAGGAGGAATAACAGCTAATTTGAGTTAGGGCTTTACTTCGAACTCCTGTTTCACTGCCACATGTAGACGCGGGCAGTTCTTCTGGGCTAGTCAATTTCCAAAATGGCAACCGCCCGGGAACATGCTAATGAAGCACAGGATATTTAAATCCCGCTCTTCATTTGCAATTTCGGTCGCCCTCATTAGCCTCCCTTGTTTGAACTAGGGGGCTAGTGTAGACGTACCCTTCGTGTTAGTGAGCTGCTCTACAATCTCTCTCTGCAAGTCTGGGCCAGTCGCCTCATACTTGGGTGCAGCACAGGAGTGTGTATCTGCTGGCAAGGTCCTGCTGCTCCCAAATATAAACACCCTCATGGCTCTCAGCTCTGCCTGCCCTTTCCTGAAGATGAAGATGGGCAGAAATCTGGAGGCTCTTCCTAGCATGTGGGTAAATGACACTGCTGGGTCCAGGTGTGGCTATCTTCCCTGATGGGCAACCTCCCCCTGCATCCAGAGACTCGGAAACCCCAACCTCATCCATCACACCAGCTTCCTGTATGTAAATGCAGAGAGGAAAGAGGCAAGACAAGCTTATTGTCCAGGCTTTTAGGGGGCTGGTCAAACCAAGGGCTCTTTTCTTGCGAAGGAATTCTCCATTTCCATCTCTTCTTCCCAAGCTCATGGCAGAATGACCACCCTCCGGAAGCAAAGGCCTGTCATTGCTGTGCCACAGGAAAACTAGAGGGCACAGGAAAACTACTGCTGGGTCCCCTCAATATCTGCACTTACTACATTACCCAGGTATGCTTTCAGCCCAGTGTCGGAGGAGTAGAGTAGCATCTCCACACCTTAGAAGCAGCATGGTTTAATGGCTAGAGAATCAGTCTGCCTATTGTGATACTTGTGTTCTAGTCTTGGTTTTGCACTGTTGATGGGGGTGGTGCAAGGATCCCCCCAGAACAATTTCACTTTGTAGTTTTCACAGCTATTGTGCTCCTCTATCTTGCCACCATCCCAATGCCCCTTTGAAGACAGGAATGATTTCAGATTATGTATTTTATGTGACTTCATTAAACAGGGTGTTTGTGTGTGTGCTCAAGACATGGCACTGGGCTAATGAGGACTCGATGGAAGTCGTCTGGCACATGAGTCACAGGCAGGAGTGCCAGCCTGGGTACCAAGCTGTGGTAGAGACTGATTGCCTTACTCGTAGGCAGGTACAGGTTGTACCTCTACAATCCAGGATTCTCTGGTCCGGCAACATCCGTGATCCACATGACCATGGATGTTTCAGGATCAGAGAGTCCTGGTGTGCTGCAGTGGGGTGGAGGGCTGGGAGTTGGTGTGTGGCTCAACTGGGCCAAGAGGGAGGAGCCAGGAGCTGGCGTGCAGCTCAGCTGGGCAGTGGGGGAGCCAGGAAATGGGGGGTAGTATCAAGGCGGGACTGGCAACGGGGAGCCTGGTCCAGAAAAATCCCTCATCTAGGACCAGTCAGGTCTTGAGGGTGCTGGACCAGGGAGGTCCAATCTGTAACTTTTCTCCTCTGTGCCTTGGTTTTCCCCCTGTTGGTATGGAGAATTACACCTTATACAAAGGGGTGTAGTGAAGCCATTATTGCTGAGTGTCTCCAAGGCACTCTGAGCGTGTGGAGCCACTCCACAAGTGCAAAGCATGCTATTTGGTTGTTTATTTATTTATTTGTTCTTTCATCTGACAATACATGGATGAGGCAACGCTCAAATAAATTAAAAAGCAGCCAATTTAAAAAGCAAAGCAAGGAGCCCATCTCTTTAATTAGCACACAGGTACCTTGTAGAATTCCCAGGCACAGAACAGCGTGGAAAGAAGTAATGCAGCTGGATTTTTAAAGCACCATTTACGTTACAGTCATCACTAATGCCTGCAGCTTGCCAAGATATAAATATTATCATAAGGTTGTTTTGACCTCATGAGGCAGTGCCAGCTGCAGGTATCAGGAAAGACTCTCCTTGAGCCACAGGCAATTGATGCCTGCGGAGGGTAGCAGGGTGCAGGAAGAGCCATCAAGAAGAACAGAGAGAGGCCATGACAAGGCACCCCATTTAGCAATTCAAATTGTGGTCAGAGCACAGGAGGGCAGCGTACTTCCTGACTGCTACCACAAGTCACCTATGCCTGGAGTTACATAACAATAGAACGGATTAATGAGTGTTTCATGAGAAATGAGTGGATTTACCTTCACGAAGGGCAATACTGGTTTAAATGGCCTGATTGGGACGAAATCAGAGGTGACATAAATATCAGTGAAAACTACAAGTTAGTAAAGCAATGAAGTGGCAAAGTGAACCTCAGCCAGTGTCATTTACAAGCTGACGGAGTGCGTGTAGGTTGGTGGCTGGTAAAGCAACCAATAGAACATATCAGATGTAAAATAATATGTGTGTGTCTGTATGTGATACTGACTGTATGCAGGGCCGGCTTTTTGTTTTGTGTTTGTACAGCACTTAGCACAATGGATCCTGGTCAGTGCTACAGCAACACGAAACTAAATAATAGTGCATGGCTCACTTTAACTTACACATTCCCACCCCCTTGTACAAGGCTTTTAAATCTGATCATATTTTTCTGGTGGACATTTATGTTTGCTGCAAACCTGCCCCCCTAATGTGTAAATCATATTCACAATTATTTACCCTGATTTACACCACCATCTCTGGGGCCTCCTGTCTGATCCAGCAGGGCTAACTTTTCACAAGGCTGAAAATTCCCCAACTCCCTGTGCATTTATTACTCCAGTCATCTGCCAATCAGCTGCAACCAAACACATTACAACCCAGATTTAGCACGGCTTATCGTCCATCTGAATGAAGTCTTGACCCCAAATTTGGTATTTTCCTGCATGTTATGCAAACTGTGTCAGTGGGTGAAAAATCTCCTTAATTTATGAACAACACTCTGCATTTTATGAGGTGTGGCTGTCTTTGATTTAAAGGATAGGATATATTCAAATAAGAAAGAACTTTAAATGTACATGTGCTGACTGCTATGTATTTATCTGTCATCTTACAGGCTAGACAGCATTTGGGGTCAGCATATATATACAAAGAGGGCTGGCTGATAACTGACTGGGTTAACCAGTCTATTAGGGTATGTCTACACAACCCTCCTAGTTCGAACTAGGAGGGTAATGTAGGCATACCGCACTTGCAAATGAAGCCCGGGAAATTCAGATCCCGGGCTTTATTTGCAAGTGCGGTATGCCTACATTACCCTCCTAGTTCGAACTAGGAGGGTAATGTAGGCATACCGCACTTGCAAATGAAGCCCGGGATTTGAACTTCCCGGGCTTCATTTGCATAAGCCGGGCGCCGCCATTTTTAAATCCCGGCTCATTTGAACCCCGTGCCGCACGGCTACACGCGGCACGGGGTTCCAATGAGCCGGGATTTAAAAATGGCGGCGCCCGGCTTATGCAAATGAAGCCCGGGAAATTCAGATCCCGGGCTTTATTTGCAAGTGCGGTATGCCTACATTACCCTCCTAGTTCGAACTAGGAGGGTAGTGTAGACATACCCTTACTTACACACATGGAATAAAAGAGAAAATTTGTACACAGCAGAACCGAACTTTGGATAGGCAAATCCTTATGTGAAAATCTTCATTATCCAAAAATGAGCTTTGTCTCTTGATATGATTCACCACCCACTAAGATAATGGAAATCTTTCAGTGTACTTCACAGAGGGCCTATTACAAAGTAGAGGGCCCTATTGATTTGAATAAGTTATCTCCCCTTCATTCTGTTAGACTAAATAAGATTCTACTCTGCATGAAAGTGAATGTCAGGGAAGCAGGGCTGGCCTTACCATGAGGTGAACTGAGGCAGCCATCTCAGGTGCCAGACCGTGGGGGGGGGGGGGGGTTTGCCACTAAGACCCAGAGTATAGAAAATTGTGTCTGCTGCTGGTGCATATGTAGGTAGCCGAGCAGTACCACGAGAGGAGTAGAACAGGAAGAAGGCAGAATTGAGACCTTTAAAGTTTTGGCCCAAGTGAGGGGGCATGGGGGCATCATTTGAGCTCCCCGCCTCAGGTGCCAAAATTTTGTGAACCGGCCCTGAAGGGAAGAATATAGCAAAAGCTCCCCAGCTGTGACTGAGGAGTACTCTCTTGATCCTGGGATTATTTTGTGCCAGGGCAGCCAATAAATACCAGGGAAATACCATTGCAAGCCTCACCTGCATGTTATGGCAAAGAAATCGCCTGCATGGATTACAATTTGATCTTCTGTAATGTTCAACTTTGGTTTCGGTAGTAATTCTTCCAGAGATAGACCTGAGCCAAAAAATAAAGAAGAAAATACACAGTTAGGCCTGTTTTCCAGTGCATACACACATTAAAGCAGACACAAGAAAATATGATTGATGCTTTCTGTAGTTCACTCTTCAAAGATAAATTCTTCTTTCACAAACATCATGTAACTCCACTGAAGCCAGGAGAGAATCGGCCCATTTCCTTTCCCAGTCCACTTCTGTCGACAAAACCCTGTAGTCTAGACACACCCTAAAAGACCTCCAGTGAATAATTCAAGTTGTCACATGAAACAATAAACATTAAGTGCATGTTTTCCTTTAATGAACTACATCAGTGGTCCCCAACGTGGCGCCAGCCGGGGCATTTATGTGCGCCCGCTGAGACATCTGGGCTGGCTCTGCCCATGGCACATGCGTGGTGCCGGCCCCACGCGCATGACACATGGGCGGCCCCTGTCCCGGGCACGCAGCACATGCGTGGTGACGGCCCTGGGCTCAGGAAGTGTGGGCGGCCCCTACCCCCGGGCGCGCGGTACATGCGTGGCCCCACCCCCCGAAGCGCGGTGTGTGAGTGGCCCCACTCCTAGACGCCCAGCACATGAGCGGCCCCGCCCCGGGCGCCCAGCAGCCATGAAAGGTTGGGGATCACTGAACTACATAAATGGGGAAAATTTCTGCAGGAGCAAGTGTCTTCCTTTTTTATGTCTGGAATATCTGGTCTATTAAAAAACAACAGCAGCAACACAACACCACCGCAATCTGCAGTATTCATAGAATCATAGAGCTGGAAAAGACCTCAGAAGGTCATCAAGTCCAGCCCCCTGCTCTAGGCAGGACCAATCCCAAGTAAATCAACCCAGCCAGGGCTTTGTCAAGCCGAGACTTAAACACCTCTAGGGATGGAGACTCCACTACTTCCTTAGGTAACCCATTCCAGTGCTTCACCACTCTCCTAGGCTGTGTCTAGACTACATCCCTTTTTCATAAAAGGGATGCAAATTAGACATATCGCAATTGCAAATGAAGCGGGGATTTAAATCTCCCCCGCTTCATTAGCATAAAAATGGCTGCCGCTTTTTTTCCGGCTCGGAGCTTTGCCGGAAAAAAGTGCCAGTCTAGACGCGGATCTTTCGGAAAATAAAGCCTTTTCCGAAAGATCCCTCATAAGGGATTCCTTATGCGGTGGAAGAGGGAATAAGGGATTCCTTATGAGGGATCTTTCGGAAAAGGCTTTATTTTCCGAAAGATCCGCGTCTAGACTGGGGCTTTTTTCCAGCAAAGCTCCGATCCCTTATGAGGGATCCCTTATGAAAAAGGGATGCAGTCTAGACACAGCCCTAATGAAATAGTTTTTCCTAATATCCAACCTGGACCTCTTCCACCGCAACTTGAGACCATTGCTCCTTGTTCTGCCATCCATCACTACTGTGAACAGCCTCTCTCCATCCTCTTTGGAAGCTCCCTTCAGGAAGTTGAAGGCTGCTATCAAATCCCCCCTCACTCTTCGCTTCTGCAGACTAAACAGACCCAACTCCCTCAGTCTCTCCTCATAGGTCATATGCTGCAGCCCTCTAATCATATTCCTGAGTAATAGCCACAAATACTGCAGTGACACTTGCTTTGTTTGAGTTGCAGAGTATAGCAATGTTTCATAAGGCAAATTTGTAGCTGTGTTTGTGGTCCTAGCAGCAATGCCAATCTGTTACATGACTAGTGCACAAATCTCTCTCCCTAGGACAGTCATCATCTTTTAGTGGATGCTCTCCTGACCATTAAATTCCTGTCTCTTTAATAAATGGCAGTGAGGATGCAGAGAGCACGTTTTGTCCCATCAGTGTTAGTAAATCATACTTAGTATTTTTTAAAGGCAGATCTCAAAGTACAGATTGGTTAACATTATTACGCCTGTTTTACAGATGGAGAAATGGAGGCACAGAGAGATGAAGTGACTTTGTCATGGTCACACAGTGGATCACTGGCATAGCATAAAGAACTAATGTCTGCGGATTCCCACACCATGATCCATTGTGTACTGCTGCTCCTTTTTTTTTTTTGACAGAATCTGCCATTCAATTGTACTCTTAAAGTGATCCTGCCAACTGATTTCAAGGTCCAAAGTTTAGATTTTGCTTTAAAGGGTTTCATTAGACTTTGCCTAGATTGAAATGTTTGTATCCATGGTGGCTTTCAAGAAATACTGTTTTAAAAAAAATGTAAACATCACCCTCTTATGTTGGGAAGCCAAACAGCAGCAGAATAGAAAGTGAAACTGGGAAGAAACAAAAGTGAAAGTGGCCAGACTAGTTGCCTTGCCCACACTGAGGGAAGAGTAATCAGCACAACCACAAATATGCTTAGATGTGTTTCTCGTTTTCCAGACTGATGCCACTGAAGTGTCATGTTTTCTTTCCCTGTATGCACTTCAAATCATTATCTTCTCCCCCATGTTGAGCTTGATAAGTCAGAAATCCTTAGTTTGGCTTATAACAAAGGCATTTTACTCATATGTATAGCAGTGGTAAGATATCAGACAAACAGAAACAGCTTTCCACTGGATGAAGAAATGATTTCCCCCTGACACTCCCAAATTTCTCTTCTACAAAATTCATGGGAAATGGTCTCAGCATGGCATGTTCCCTGTGTGAAGAGTGACTCACTCCCACTTACAATAATCCAGCTTCTTTCATGAGCTATTCAAACTCCCATCAGAAACTCAGCAGAGGCTAGCTAATACCCAAGAGCACCAGCCTTCTAAAAACATTGCTAGACCCCTCAGTTGGTGATACCAACTGTCTTCTTCAACTGCAAGCTCCCTCAGGATGAGAAACTAAACTAGGATCTTGTCCACTTGTCTTCATGAGAGATCCAGGGCATTTTATTGCTACAGATATTACATAAGCTCCAGTGTCCTGGCCAAATTCCAAATTTTGCATTCAGTTTAACATGTTCTTCACTTCTTTGTCTGAAAATAGTTACAGCAGGTAAACTCGTGGGTGTACAATAACTGCTGGGTCCCACTGCAGAGTGAGTGAATTGGAGTAACACCTAAAGTGTATGTCTACACTGCATTCCTCTTTCAAGAAAGGAATGCAAATACAGCTGAGTGAAATTGCAAATGAAGCGCGGATTTGAATTTCCCATGCTTCATTTGCATAATCGCGTCCGGGCGTTATCTTGAAATACCCTATTTTGAAAAAAGAAATGCTGTCTAGACGCGGTTATTTCGAAAGAAAACCCTTCTTTCAAAATTACCCTTACTCCTTATACAATGAGGTTTAAAGGTAGATGGTAGATTGTCGCTCAAAGTAAGCGTGCTGCTAGACCCATCTTTATACCCAGAGGGACTCGTATCCTCTTTCTTATCTAAGATGCCAAATTGTGTTGGTCCATCTTTGTGACGCCAGTTCTTACAAGGGAGTTTCAAGTTAATTTACACCTGCAAGAGAGATAACTAAATGGTGAGTACTGGACATTTTTTTACTGGGCGGGAGATTCCTCCCCCCGGGCACTGTGTGTTCATATCAATATAGGTTTCAGTCAAGGGCACTCCTCTGCAGCCTCTTGGTCAGTGATTGGTGTATCTTTGTTTACAGCCATCCAGGGTCACAGCAGCCTGCATATCCGGGCCTTCTGTCAAGGATTTTACTGCTCTGTGTGCCCTGTATGCTCCAGGCAAGCAAAAATGTATGTTACAGGGGGGGTTCCTGTCTGGCTACACATACCCAAAGTTATTCCTAAGCAGTAATAGTGTAATGTTCAGTAGGAGCTCAGGAGAAAAATGTTGTGAGGTAATGTGTTCCAGAACTTCTTACTAACTGCCCAAGCACCCATTCTGGACACTGCTCAGTAGTCTGGAAATATGTCCTTCAAACTGAGCATGCTCTGAGAAGTCACCCTCTTTCTAATATTTCCTTTGTATAACAACACCCACCTATGTAACTTGATACCTATTGTTACAAATCCACTTTTCAGCTACTTCAACACCTCTAGGACAATGCATTGCTCTTTTCAAATAGCAATCTGTTCAGGAACAACCTGTCAGTGGCCAGTAGGTTTGGAAATACTTGTTAGTTTTTCATTTAATTAGCTAGAGGAGCTTTATTTAAGTCCTGTGTGTACCTAGCTGGTTTTCGCAACACATGACCACTAAGGTGACTTGGGCTGGTTACACCGTGACTTTAGCTAGATGTTACTTGGCTTTGGCAAGTTGGCACTACTGGTGGATGTGATAAATTCTGCACCTGGTCCCTTTGGTGCCTGTAGTGATTCTGAGGGCAAACATGGGGTTTCAGTGGCCCATTATGCTGGCCTTGTGCACAGGGTGAAATTTCACTTTTCATGTGTGAATGTAGCATTGTTACACTGGCTCTTAGTGCAATACTATTGGCACGTTCTTGGCTGACACTCGCTGATTAGATTTGAGCTGCTGGTGTAACTGGAGAGCAAGGCAGCTGTTAGGTTTTCATAATGCTTGAAAATGTTTTTGCAAAAGACACAAGTGTTTTTCAACGACAGTGTTTGTGTGTGAGCTACCTCTTTCACAGAGTTTGTTTTGGCATCAGGAAGCTGAAGAACAGAATAAACAATGTGTAATTTCAATGCTTTCGGGCCTCCTCCCCATGCAGAGGGGGGAAAATCCTTACCACACACACTTCACGACTGCAGCCAGGAAACAGCAGGGGTATTATAAACACAGCGTGTGCCCTCTCCTGCTTGCCAGAGCCATATTAGAAAGTGAATAGAAAAAAAATCAAAGGTGAAATGAAGAGGTGGGCCACTGGGAAAACTGAAGCCTCATTGAATTAGAATCACCAGATGCTGAAACTGGCAAACTGATCCTTCATTCAAGGGCCTGTCTTTGCTTCCACTTTCTGGATCATCACCCTGTTGGCCAAGAGACCATTTTTCTTGGAGGCGCAAGGCATGGGACATGGTAGGAAACAAGAATGGGAGTCAACCTGTTTTTATATTTGCTGTATTTATTTGGCGAGGCTCAGGGGGTTGAGAATCCGGTGGAATTAT